TTGGGACTTTTTTTTTTATGGCAGGTTTAATTTTGTGTCCAAATATAGCTTTGTAACTTGCATTTGTGTCATGCTTTGGCCTACTTGAATGAAGGAAATAAAGCATCATGTCCAAAAATGTCTTGGTTCTTAAAGAAAAGAAGCCTTGTAGATGAGCAATACTTTCTTTGAGCTTGAGTCAGAATTGCAAAATGAGTTTTGGGTTGCAAATAATATTTTGCTGTTGCCTTTATTTTAGAATCCTGTTCTAGTAGTGCATTGCACTTTGTTTTTGTGTGTGTCAAGAGTAATGAGTTCTTTCAGATCCTCAAAAAGGCGTGGGCTCTCTTAAAAATGCATGCTTGGGAAAATCCCCTCAGTTCTGTAGGAATACATGAGCTAGAGTTAGTCTGCGTGGGATAGGTCGTGAGAGAAGACAAAACCAATTTTATCTTGTGTCCCATTTTTGTTGAGGATTGTGGCTGCCTATGTGAAATCACCACGTGATTGAGCATGGAGTAATTTTGAAGTCCATGCAACTACATGTACTGACGTGAGATTAAAAACTCAAGCTACTTGATATTTTAATGCTAGACACTAAAAAGTTTTTGCCAACTTATTTCAGCTTAAAAATCTGAGAAGAAATATCTGTAAATGCCTGGGTGGTGGTGATGAAGATGAACAATAGGTTGCCATCAGTTTGTCTTACCCCACTATGTTTGTGCAGCACTAGAAAAACAACCCTGCTTATTCTGTTGTATGATTTGACAAAAAAGGAAAAGGATAGTCAATGTCAAAAATGGAGTCCAGTCTGCTCAGAGGAAGCAGCTTTTTTCCTGGGTTTTAGGATGATATTACAGAAATGAAACTTGGGGGGGAAAAAATCCTATAAAAGTAATTGCCCACTTTAAGAATTGAATATTAATTATGGTGCAGTGCCTCATCTGATAAAGGAAGCAATGTGAGAACTTGTGGATCTCCTTGCACTATTTAGAGATACACACACCTTTCACTTCAAATTCTCTATTCATGGAGCTGATGAACAGTAATACAGCTGCTTCCATAGAAGACCGTGTGAAAAGGCGTTCAGGATAATGGAAATGTGGCATCCATGATGGGAGTGCTGGTTTAGTAAGCTTAATTACCATTGCTAAGTGCTGATGTGCTGTGTGCTTTGACAGCTGGCTTGTATCCACCTGTGCCTTAGTGATGATTTCTTACATATCCTTTAGGACTCACTAGGGACATGTGGATTTGGGGTGGGAGTGGGTGGGGGGAAATGCATGCCACTAATGCTCCTCTGATTGACTTCAACATCCTTTCTCAAGCAATCTGAATTTAGGGATCTGTCAAATTAGAGGATGCTATTTGTATCAGTACATTCAGCATAGTTTCAATATCTCCCTCACTGTTTGTTCTTTATCCTTTATATGTTGAAATTTGTTCTTTATCCTTTATATGTTGAAATTTGACTTGGATACTTCCCATTGAACCACTTCAGGAGCTGCCACATGAGAAATCTATGCTGTGTACCCATTTGTACTGTAAAGAAAGCAGTGAGCTGCCTTTGAATTAAATGGGATTTTCAGATATGTCCATTGTTTAAGCAAAAACAAGTTTTGGATTGTCTTAAGAGCAAGCATCTGCCTTGTGAAAAGCAGAACTGGTTTGTATTGTAACAAGTGCTCTTTCAATAAACTATGAAATACTCTTGTAAGTGTCAGATTTGTCTCAGTGAAATGGAAATGAAATTTGATTGCAGGCTTGTCCTAATTTTATTTTTTGTCTTGGGGTTGGTATTGTTCTCGCACAGTTAAAAAGGTTTCGTTAATTGTTCCTTAATCTGTTTCTTCTAAGTCTGTCCACCCTGATTTTTCTTCTGTTAAGTTAGGTGAAAAGCAGCCTACACAGATTTGTGTCTACTGTCACATAGCTTATTTAAATTAAAAAAACCCCAAACATTAAAAATAAAAGCTTTTTCTAGCACAAGGGGATACAAGCCATACTCCTCTTCAGTGCTGTCCCATTGTACCGTATTGTGTGCTGTTTATTTAAATTCTGGAAGAAAATACAGAGCTGGCTGTTCTCTTATTTGCTCACTGAACACCAAAGAAACTGACTTTTTTGTATACCTGAAATACAGGAGGGAATCACACACACTGCAGTACCTTTGCAGACATCACGTAGATCCAAAGAATCCAAGTTGTTATGGTACAGTGTTCTGCTTAAAAAGCTGGTCCAGTCTGGTCTTAAAAAGCTTGGCCTAATCTGAGTGTATGATTTTTAATTTTTTTCCTGTTTTCACAAAATCTAGGAATGTTGTGACTTTAGATATGTCCATGCCCCTGGACAAAATAAACTTTTCATTCCCTTTTTCCACATTTGTGGAGCTAATGATATCAACCAGTTTGAAGCTGTACAACAATATGCATTGGGTTCCGGGGAGTCTAGGGCATGGACCTTCAGGGCAGCTTCTAGATGCAGGTTTTTTTCCTTTTCTAGCAATTGAGGCACTTTTAAGTTGGTACTAACAATTAGGTGTGTATTGCCACTAATCAGATCTGGAAACGTTTGCCTGGAGAGCTAACCAATCTCTCCAGTAGAGCAAACCAACCCCTTTTAGAGTGCAGTCAGGGCATCTTCTGTCTGAACCAACCTGAAATTCATCCTTCATCTATTGCTCAGTGCCCATTATTTTTAAATACTACCATAGTATCAAGTGCCAGGAGACAATCTTAGTCCTGTTTTTCTCCTTAGGGAAATGGTACCTATTTCTTTTTTTCATTATGGGAAAACAAACTTCAATTCTTTGACTTGGTTTTAAAAGTAATGTTTGTTAGTGTGGAGTCAATAAAAGGTGTCTGCTTATAGTAAGCATTTATTTATCCAGGTATTTAAATGTACAGAAGATATACTTACTTGGCTCACAAGGCTGAAAATAGAAGATAAGAAGCAGATTTTTATCTTTGAATGAATTTAATGTGCCTGGATTTTTCATGGTGGAAGTAGAATTTTCACAGTGGAATGCTCCTGATTTTTGACCGTTCCCTCTGCAGTTTTTTCAGTTTCTCCAAAAGAATCTGATCAAAGATTCTACCTTAAACACCACTTGAAGAGCTTTTCTTTTCTTCATTTCTACAATCTAGCTGCTCAAAATGACATCCTCAGATTATCTACTTCAGACTACAGGAAAATAAATTATTTTGCCCTTCCTTACACATAAGAGAAACTTGTTTCTGTCACTTCACATCTGACCTGTTTTATCTTGGTTTCAAATGTAATAGCATTATCTACATGAGTCGGGGGGAAAGATCAGAGACAGTGCCTTTATGTTAATGAATTTTTAAGAGTACACTGGCTATTTCATAACTAGATAATTCTGAAAGTCCTCACTGAGTCTAGAATAGTGCTTTGGTGAATCATTAAGAATTTCAGAGGGAATATCAAAAGAAATGATATATTTGTCTGTAGTTGTTTTGCTGCTGGGCTATGCTTTACTTACACTGTAAGTATGTAGCTATCTTAGAGTGAATGGAGCAGACACAAATGAAGAAGGAGCGTTTTAGCCAAATAAAATTTCAAGAGGAAATTAGAAAATAAAAATGCAGCCCTCGTACAAAGGCTGTATATCTCTATTTGTTCAGTTTTCTCTCCCTAAAGGTCATGGGTATTGAATTAATGGTATTGAAAATTCTGCGCTTTCTAAGAGCACAGCTACCATTTTTTAATGCTACTGCCAGGAAACATTATTTATAAAATTAAAGGAACGTGCTTTGGTTTATCTCCTTTCCAAATACTGTCTAAAGGTCTTTCTGACTAACTTGTGTTAAATTTGACACAATCACATTTATGGCAGTGTTAAGTACTATACTTGCTGTATGAAAACAAAGTAATGTGGCTGTTTAGGTGGGATGCTTGAATAGGATGGGAGGAACGTGTACAGCTTTTCCTGTATAGCTGTGACTTAAGAATGCATTACTGCAAACAGTGCATTGGAAGAATAATTTTAGAATATGGAACTATGGAAGAGAGAAGGTTGGAATACAAGAGGAGTGGCTTCAAGAATTCTCCTTAAGAACGCTGTAACTCTCTCAGTGAATTGTTGTTGCAACTGTTGTATAAAAATCTTGAGAGGCCAGTTTAATTTGTGTAACACGCGCCAACGGATTACCTTAAGAAAATGAAATGCAGTAGTGAGATAGGCTCTGAGACCAGGAGCACAGTAACTGTATCTGTTCTAAATATCTTGACTTTGTATTTGTTTTACCAGCAAATAATGAAAGGGTCATTAGGTCTTAGTAGCATTTACTTCAAGGCATGATTATGCTGAACAGGAAGAAAATGCTCTTATACCAGAAGGTATTGTTGAAATGCTTCTTGTGGGGAAACCTCTGCACAGACTTTTCTGCCCACTTGCTGGGGCGGTGGTATTTTTTTTATCTTCTGGTATATTAAATACACATGTGAGAGAGTGATACTTGCATCCCAAGAGGAAAATCTAATTGAAAACAAAATGTCTTTTTTTCCCCCTAAAATCTGAAATGAATTTTTTTGTATCAAAAGGCAAATCAGTGGTGCTGTTAATCCTTCTGTTTGAGAAAATGAAGGTGAATAATCCTCTCCTTTTAAATTTATTTCTGTACTTTTCTCTATTTCTGTCTCTTTCCTGCCTCCCTGAAAGGAGCAAGCAGGTTCCCCGAAAAATCCCTTTTCTCTAGTCTTTAGCAAAAAAACCAAACCAACCTAAACTTTTCTCTCTTGCAGATACTATGAGCATGTATATCTGATGATTTTAAAAAACAACACTACTGTCTTAATTGTATTGGTCTCTGTCGTCTCTCTTTTCAAGGAGAGATTATACTAAAACAATAGATGTTGATATGTGACCGCTGAGCATTAATGGAAATGTCTTTATGTATTTGTTCTCTGTGTCTGTCATTCCATCTGAGGTGTTAGTCTCTCTTAACTGTTCTCCTTGCTTTTGTCTGTCCTCCTACACGGTATCTCCTCTCTCCCCACAGGACTATGAGAGTAAGCTGCAGGCCTTGCAGAAGCAGGTAGAGACACGATCCTTGGCAGCTGAAACAACAGAGGAGGAGGAGGAGGAGGAAGAAGAAGGTGAGTTTGAAGCTAAAAATAATTTGGATATAGCCAAGTATAAAGGAACAGTTGCTATAATGTCTCTTGCAATAGATAGAAAACTTGCTTTGTAAAGCTGCAAAGCGCTTTATAACTTCTTGATCTGTAACCTTCACAGCGTGTATTCATAGAGTAAGTTCTGCATAAACAGTAGATATACATCCCCAAATTCAATTGATGCACAAAGTAGATTAGTTTAACTACAAACTTTGATTTGGTGGTCTTGAATTTGAAAGAGTCTCTCTCTTCTTGGCACTAACAGAGTTCAGATGTCTTAAACCAAAAGAATACTGTTGCCTTTGTTTCCTTGTTTTAATTTTTAGGTTTCTTTTTTCTCTGTGGTAGGAATTCTTAAGAATTCATGCTGTGACATGTCTGTATAACTCCATTTCTGGACAGTAGATAGAGTTTATTATTCCCATAATACTTGCTTTCATTCCACTGTTTCACCATTTGGCTTTAATAATTGCTAACTAATTTAAAATAATATGAGTAGAATTAGTTTTGTTTTCTCTGTTCCAAATCCCCTTACTTAATCGTTATATCTCCACTGCTAGTGGTGTGCAAGTTTGAATCCAGTTTTTAATCACTGAATAATAAAAATGCAGGTTTTTATTTTCTGTTCTCCTCTTCCAGAAAAGGTGTATAGAATTTGATGACACAGTCAGCAGTAGTATTAGATACTGCATGTGATGGTTTAGAGAAGAAGCCACAGTGTTTTATGTCTCCGTTTCTTTGCTCTTCCTAGTGCCCTGGACACGACATGAGTATGAGCTCGCACAATGGGCTTTCAGGAAGTGGAAATTTCATCAGTTTACTTCACTGAGGGACCAACTCTGGGGAAATGCAGTATATCTGAAAGAAGCCAATGCAATCAGTGTAGAGTTAAAGAAAAAGGTGGGGACATGCAGGTTTTTTAATTTTCTGACTCCTCAGTTTTGACTATAATCCTGCTTCAAACGCTCAGAGTTACTTGTGATCTTTAAAGTTATATGTTTCTTGCTTATTAGTTTGGGCTTTAAAAAGCATCCAGAAAATTGTGGTTCTTGGATTCAGACTTCTGGCTGAATTAACATCCCGTGCAAATCTGGTTGATATATTCTTCTCTTCTTCATTTCCCTTACGCTGTTCCTGTCAATATCATAAACACATGTACATGTGCATCTCCCCAGGGCACTGTCTTTTCCTTTTTGCTTCTAACTTCCTGTGGTCATCCATCTTTCCAAGAGAAGTGGGTGCTGCAGGATGTGCCAGGTCTATAGTTTTCCAGACCTCTGCTACCTGTGACAATAAAGACAAAATACGTGTCCTCAGCTGGAAAATATGTTTTATGCTATTTTGAAACAACAAAAAAAAGTGACATAAAAAAACCCTGAATGTTCACAGAGATGAAAGTCAAACTGGCTTCTTATGTTGCCTTAGGTTTGGTCTCTGTCCCCTTTGTGATGCTGATATCTGCCTTCTCAGAACTAAAGTATTTTTTCTTTTTCCATTCAGGTGCAGTTTCAATTTGTCCTGCTGACAGACACCCTCTACTCGCCACTGCCACCAGAGCTTTTGCCCACTGAGTTGGAGAAGACCCGGGACAATAGGCCTTTCCCCCGTACAGTGGTAGCTGTGGAAGTCCAGGATCTGAAGAATGGAGCAACACACTACTGGTCCTTAGAAAAACTCAAGTATGTAAACATTACTGGAGAATAAACTTCCTTATATCCAAGGAGCTTCACTGAAAAATTTCACTTCTTGCTGTTCATTCTCTGTTTTATTTGTTTTTTCTTTGTGTCGTCCCAAATGCCAACTTTCCAGACAGGGTGATATGTTTTAAATACCAGCTTTCTAGATTCTTTCAACAAGTGCATTTGTTCTCCAGTGTCTTACCTCACTTCCACATTTAATTTTTGTGACCTGAGGTTAGATTTTGTTTTTTAAATCTAACAAGGCTCATCACAGCTCACGTCTCTGCATTAATTTTTTTTAATGTTCCTTTCACTGTAAAAGTTTCCTTGCCACCTGCTTTTATATAACCTAGTAGTATAGGGCATAATTTATAATAAAAAGCTTAAACAAAGTTTCTATTTCTATGGAAGCTACACAAATTCTGACTGTAATCTGAACTATTATCATCATATTCTTGCAAACAGGTAGAAGACATTTGTCTTTTCCCCATTCTCTAAATACTGACTGAATAACTTTTTTTTCCACTAATAACTTCCAGATGAAGGATCTTGCAGTGTGAAAAACTTGTTTTCTTCAATAAAATAAATAAGTAAATAAAAGTCTATAATGAAATCAATTCGCTTTTGAATCAAAATGCCAACATTTCTCGAGTTAAATGTGAAAAACTGCCTAAATTACTCAGCAACATTATCTGATGCAAAAAAAGAAGCAAAAAATATGCTAGAATTAGATGTGAAAGAAGAATATTTAGAAGTTTGAATGAACTGAGATTTACGTAAGCTTCTGCAGTGACCTTGCTTTGTGCTTAGTGTGCTTAGCCTACAGAATTTTTCCCAGAAACCTTAACATGTCAGAGAATTAGTACAGTGCCGAACTTAGCAGTATGGACTCCTCTGTTCTTTGTTCTCCCTTTCCTATGTGTAATTTGGTAGAGGTGAAGTAAGCATACCCCACTTTGTGTTCTCTGCTTTTTTTATTCACTCTCTATTAATTTTTTAATCCTGCTTTCTTCTGTGCAGGCAGAGGTTGGACCTGATGCGTGAGATGTATGACAGAGCTGGGGAAATGGCGTCGAATACACAGGACGACAGTGAAAGCACAATGACAGGCAGTGACCCTTTTTATGATCGCTTTCATTGGTTCAAGCTTGTTGGAAGGTATGTCACAATAATCTCAACTGCTGGTGCACTGGTAACTCTTGTCAGTTCTGGATGAACTTTGACTTTGAATGTGGCTATAAAAACTGTATGGCCGCTAGTGTTAGTTGTGTGTTATCTTTCAGGGATTTCTGATAGACTTAAAATATAGTGAAGAGCAGAAAATGGTGTTTAGAATGTTGCCAGTTCTGGTGTAACCTTGTAGAATCTGATTTGACTGAACCCTTAGTAAGTTATAAGTTTATTTTAAAGAAAATGTGGCTAGCTAAGTTCTATCTGAAGTCACTGGAGCAGAGCTGGGAGAATAGGAAGAACACTGGAAACTGAGGGGAAAAGTGGCCTAGGGCCATATGTGGTTCAAATAGCTTGGTCATATCCTATGAAAATACCTAGTATCTGATGGGATTCTTTAGTATTCCTGATGTCGGCTGCACCTTTACAGTATTTTATTTGCAAAAATGCTAAATGTTGGAAATAAGAATTGTAGCTCTGTTAAATGGATGTGCTCTCAATATCTGTATGTTCAGCCATGTTTATATTCATTTTTCATTTGCCTTCTGCTCAGTTCAAGGATGCTCTTCCTGACTGTTAGCAATCCCTTTCCTTACGTTTCATTGCAGTCCAGATGGTTTGAAGCCTTTGCTTGTCGTTCAGGTGGTCTCTGTGTGATGGCAACAGACAGCTGTTAAATGAAGCATTCTTCTTTCCCCTCACTCTGTTAATTGGTATTCCATTAACCGATATCTAGTTCCCCCATATTCCATGGCTGCGTGAATGAGCGTCTTGCTGATCGCACGCCCTCCCCCACTTTCTCCACGGCTGACTCCGACATCACTGAACTGGCTGATGAACAGCAGGATGAGATGGAGGACTTTGATGATGAGGCCTTTGTGGATGATACTGGCTCCGACGTTGGAACTGAGGAGGGATCAGACCTCTTCAATGATGGGCGCGACCCGTTTTACGACCGATCCCCTTGGTTCATTTTAGTGGGAAGGTTGGTGAGGTTACTGTGAGAATGGCCAAAAGGGACCAGCTCTTGCTGTAAACTGCAATGGCTTTGCCTTGTGCTGCACAGAATATCTTGTCAAGCCAGCCAAAATATCTATATACATAAATTGGAATTGCCAGACAATGAGTGTAGTTTAAGTTTTAAATTCCCATGTCAGAGGCCATGAAGGCCTAAATAAAAATTGAGAAAATAACCCTTAGATGCAACAACGTGGGGAAATATATTTCTAGATAACTGTCACAATATAGACTGAATGTGGTTTTGCTTGTGTACAGTATTTAAGCATTATTTATAGAATGCTCTATTTAGCCATTGCAAGATCACTTAAGATAGTATTTGTAGCATGTAATTTTCTTCCATGGAAGAGAATCTGAGAGTATGGTGGAAAGTCTTTAAGTCCAATCCAATAAATCAATTTTTTGAAAACTCATCTAACAACTTCTGTGTCTGAAGAGAAAAGATGGCATGAGGAGAAAGAAGAATGGTCCTTTCTGAATTTGGAAAAGAGTATTCTTTGAGATGATTTGGCTTCTCAGATTATGCATGACTCTCGATAGCAAGTATTATGTAGTGAAAGGATCATCATCATTAAAATTCATTGGCTGGTGGTATTTATCAGAGATTTCCCCATGCACTGTGCTGGAATTTCTGAAACAATTTGCTTAAATGTATTTTAGATTATTATCTGTTTGCTAATCTAGGTATGAGTAAGGCGTTACCAGATCTCAGTCTGTGGTGTAGACTCTAAGGACAGCAAGTTGCATTAAAAGAATGTAGTATTTTGTCACTGTTTCTTCACAGATAGTCTTGCTCAACCATGTTACTCGTGACAAGAAACAGATTTTATTTAGTGACTTTGCTCCCCTCTCTTCTGCTCCCACTCCCCCAATTACGCTTTTTTGCTTATTTGATCACGCTGTAAGCCAATCTACTTGTTTTAACAGTAACAGAGGTGGTTACCGCAGGCGTTGTACAAAAGAGGGGGTAAGACTCCATGACTGGCAGAAGGGAGGAACAAAGGAGAAGGGACCAGAGCTTGCCTTTGTCCTTTTCTGTGATTGTACACAGGGAAGACTTAATGGTCAGGAAGGAGGGATGTTTTTGCAGTTTCCTCAAATGAAGGAAACTTGATTGCATTATTTGTGAAAATGAAGAACTGAGTTTGTCAGTCTTTTATCAAGCTTTTAGATTAGTTTAGCTGTGTTGTCTAACCTTATTCTTTGCCTTTAGGGGACCTGTTTACAAGCTGTGATTGAAACTTGGAACTTCCTTGATCTAGTCTTTGAAACAAAAATTACAGTTACTAAAGATGCAGGAAATCACATTAGTCCTCTCTGATCTCTGTGAATTTGTTCCCTTATGTGCAATGTCTAATGTGTTTTTTAAAATTTAAGTCTTTCAGGTTAATTTGATCCACCAGAGTCAGTTTGGGAAAGCCATCTTAACTGGCTTGGAAGTGGTTGTCAGCTAGTTAAAGCATATGTGCGCTGTTTGCAATGGCTAGGACTGCTTGCTTGTAACAGTGCTGGCATACTCAGCATATTCTCCTGTTGTGTGTGTTCTTTCAGAGCGGGGCCTTCAGTGCTTGGGAAAAAGTTGAGCTATTCATCTTCATTTCACAAACTGTTCAGGAAGCACAACACAAGCTGAGCAAATACAGTGTATAATGAAAACAGTTGTGCTTCCTGGCAATTACACAACTTGCTTCCCATTTCCATGTATTAAAAAGAATACTGAGCTCTGTCTCTATAGACAGACATAGGGAGCTGCAGCAGTTAAGAGTACTAGCCTCAACCATGTAAGCTGCACACATTAAGGAACTCTGCTTGGGTTGTAAATTGTATTGAGGCATGACAGTTTGTATTATCTCCCAGTAGACAGCTGAATGACTTTTTCCCAGTTGTTGGGTTCTATTTTGTCTATTCCTGTTCTGTTCTTTTGTTGTGCTAATTCTGTCAGCAGAAAGCTGTTAGACTGTTTAGCACCACTAGGTAGAAACTATTTTAATTCCTCGGTGTCTTCCAGCATGAGAATTCCACTTTTGAACAGTGTGACTTACAAGTATCAGAGGGTATGTCCATCTGCATAGATACTGTCTTTAGCACAAGGTAGTGTTCAATTTAGAACAAACCCAAAATTCCTTAACACTTTTAACTGTGTACTTTTTTATATGTTGTGGAATGTGTAGGACAAAAATAAAATAATTTTTAATATTTTTTTGGGGGGGCGGGGGGTCATCAGCAATAAGGAGTCCAGGTCACAAAGGAGAAGAGGAGAAATTGGTCATGTAGTTATCCAACTCCTTGGGCATCACAGTATTTTTTTTCTCTCTCTGTGCTGTAACTGTCTTTTATTTGTATTATAACTATTAAAGAAAAGGGAAATAAAGAGCTGGTCCCTTTAGCCATCTCTTCTGGCATGCTGGGCTGTCTTTAAGGCTGATTCTATTTAATGGTGTGACATATCAAGCATTTGCTACGTTTTTAAGGGAGGTGGGAGAGGACTATGGGGTATTTTATTTAAATCTTGAATTGATGTGTTTATTTAAAAAATATCTGTCATCATTCTGAGTTGTGTTGGTTTTGTTTTGATGTTTAAAAAGAGATTGTGTTTGTTAAATTTAATTTCTAGTTTTGTTGTGAGTATGCCATTTTACCTCACCAATCTTTCTGCTAATACAGCTTCCCCTCTTTCAGTCTGCTGGGCTAAGGTGCAGGGGGGCACTTGCATATGGGTCGTTTGGGGAGTGGGAGTCCTCCCAGATGTGGGAAGAGGAGGAGGATAACCTTAAGATTTCATCCACTCCTAACTTGGTACTGTCTTGTGATGAAGCAGATGGAACGGCACTGGAAGGCGATATTGCTGCATAAACCAGCACTTTTCTCTGTACAGCAAATGTGCTATTGCTCTCCATTCTACAGAAGAGATCCAGCATTTTCATCACCAAACAGGAAGCCTAAAACTTTTTGCATGATGTGCTTTTCTTTCTGTAAGTTAAAATGATTCCAGTGAGCCAGGTGAATGGATGGAAGGAAGTTAAGGAAGATGAGAAATATTTTATTCTTTGGGGTGGTCATTTTACTGAGGTGACAAAATTGTAGTTGCTGATAAAGCTGAATGCTTTGGCTATCATATGCAGCTTCAGAACTTTAGCCGTGCAAATAAAAATATATTTTTATTTTTTATGCAGTTAGTGCTTTCACTTTCCACTAGTTTGGCTTTGAAGTAGGAAGACTTCTGTAATGACTGCCTCTTTCAGTTAGTGAAACTGTCTCTTACTGTATACATATCAATGCGAGGCTATTTAGATTCCTTTCAGTTGGGGGAAAAATGTCCGTTCTCCCTAGCTTGAAATGTGGTTTTCAAACTGCGTGTGTTTTTCGTGTTGAGCATATAACTACATACCTTCCCGAACTCCATCCCTGGTCCAGTCCAAGTGAACAATTCCAATTTGTTAGTGTGAGGGACTGTTTTTCTTGTATGGTGGGATGCTGCTTTCTCAAATGAGCACCACCTGCAATTTCAAAGCTAAAAATGAAAATATTTTCTTAGAGAGAAAAATTAAACTTCTCATTTTGTTACTTTAAATTTAGTCTCTTCTCCCTTCCCTGCTTTATCAGTGCTTACCTCACTTTGTAGCAGACTGAAAAGGAGTTAGATCCTAATCTTAGTCAAGTGTTACGTTGCAGTTGTGGTTTTTTTTGTTGTTGTCATATGGTTTTCTTAAATTATTTTTTTTTTTGCTTCTTTTGTAGTCTTATTAATCATTCTCTTCTCTATTGCATTTTGTCACCACTTTGTTTTTAGTAGCATTATTTTTGTCTCTTTGGTTCACAACTGACACCTGTTTGACTACCTTTTCATTTCAAGATAATCCATTCATTCTGGGAACGGGCACGTAAACCCAAGGAGAAACACTTATTTTTTCTAACTTTGGTCCTTAGCTACATGTCACAAGGAATTAGTTCGGATCAGTCTTGCTGTGTTCATGGAACAAATTCTACAGCTGATGTCTCCAGATGGAGGCAGTGAACATCTTTCTCAGTCCTCTTTTGTCATGCAGGACTTTCCCTATGCATATTAAACAATAACAGTTATAAATTTCAGGAATTATTTCTGCTTAATAATAAAGACTAATAAAAAGGACTCCAAGAAGGAAATCCAGTTAAACAAATGACTGGTGTTTAGTATAATTTAATACGCATAAATTCATAAAAATTACATACATAATTGGTTAGTCGCTTTAAATTTAATGACTGGTAAAACTATTGGTTAAACTTCTATGCATCTCAGTACTCCTCTGAAGTCTGAAACAGCTCACTTAAATAAACTGAACTCTGAAACAACTCACTCAATAAATAAAGCCTTCCATTTTTACTCCTTGTTGAGAGCCATTCTTTACCTGACTTGTTACGCTTCTCAGCATTTAAAGTTTTGCTCAAGCTGACGACACTGAAGTGTGGTGTTCTAAGAACTTTCACAATTCATTGCAGAAACATAAAATAACGTAATAACATTAGTCTAACTTTTCATTAAAAATCTGTGCAATAAAACTTGTTAACTCATTGTTCCAAAAGAGACCCTACTTGTACATAACTTTAAAAATTAGTGTGTGGCAGGGTCATCGAGTGCTGGACCTAAAGGCTGCTTTTCCTATTGTAAACTGTAATTTCTAAATGAGTGCACTAGAGTACTGTTGTGGTGTTTTGTTGTTTGGTTTGGTTTGGTTTTTAAAGAAATAAATATAATACTGCTAAAGATATTTAGCTGCGAAGACTAGCAGTCTTCCACTGTCTGTACACTCAGTGAATCTTCCAAGAAACCTCAGAGATGACTTATGGTTTATTGGGGATTGCTGATTACTCTGCATGCAGTGTTACCAAATGAACATAGACGAGAGAAAACATTCAGTCAGTCTGTTTTGAAGAGTGTTTTTATATTTTCAGTAAAATATTTGAGGCTGTGTGAACACAGTAGATCAATTCTCTTTTAATTTACCACTTGAAACTAGACTCATGAGGTGGAAAACTCAAATAATTCTTTATAATCAGTAGCTCCTTGGTAGACTTCTGCCATTTTGCTAACAACTCCATTTACAACAGTAGTGCATCTGAAATTACCTTTTATAAAGCCATCATCTTCAATTGTCTCCTTCATATGTTTTGTAACTCACTAATATAAACCCTGTGTCTGCAGTATACTCTGATTTAGAGTATTTTGTGGCTTCACTTAGTTTTGACACAGCTGCAGAGCCCTGTGTGGACAATATGGGTACATGACTACAGTGCGGGTCTAATAGATGGAGTAAAGTAGCCTGAAGATTTGAATGTCCCATTAGCCAACCAAATACTGCAGTCTGGTTTTGCAGATGATTGCCTAATGCTGTTTGTGTTTTCTTTCCTTCCTATTACCAGAGCATTTGTATACCTGAGCAATCTACTGTACCCAGTGCCTCTTATTCACAGAGTAGCTGTTGTTAGTGAGAAAGGAGAAGTACGAGGATTTCTGCGAGTAGCAGTGCAAGCTATAGCAGGTGAGATACTCCCAAGAGTTTTACATTGCAACTCTTTGGTACACTAGGAATAGCTGCAGCTTTAAAAAACAGGCAAACAAATCAAACCATTCTCAAACCTGAATAATTTTAGTGTTGCAAAGAACACTTGTTCTTTATTATTAACTTGCTTTTGAAATTTTTTCATTGGTGTGAATCATATGGACCAAGCATGAATAAATCTTGAATTAATGCTGCAGATCAGAAGCTTTTAAAGTGATGGTGTTGACCACTGAAGTTCATACCTGGCAGCTAATGCAACATTGCTTTTTAAGACAATGAAAGGGATAACTAGTGTCAGTAAGCCTAAAAACTAAAAATAAAGCAAAGGTTTTCTTTCTGGCACAAAGTATAAACAGTGAACAAGGGTATATGCAAGTTTGATAGTTGTGGTGACTTGCAGGAAAGTTACATGTACAAAGTGTTTGTTCTTCTCAAACTATCCTTTTAAATAATGCGCAGAAACGTGCTCCTCCATTGTCTGACTGAATAGCATGTGAAAAAGTTCCTGAACTGGTGGTTTTCAGCATAGTATGAACAGAAATCAGCAGCCATTTTTCCATTTCATTGTCTCACTAAAATGTATTGAGACTTAGAAGCTGCTTTAACATACTGTTTAATCAGCAAGAATTACCAACTTTTCAGAAGAGAAGGGTAGATAATATGAGGAGGATAACTGCTTCATCAGGTTTTAAACTGCCCTTGTATGCGTGCCAGAGCTTAACTGCAGTCTGCTAGTCAGCTGCTAATATTTTATATATTTTTATATAAATTTTATATATT